TAATAATAATAATAATAATAATAATAATAATATTAATAATAATATTAATAATAATATTAATAATAACAATAATAATAACAGTAATAATAATAACAGTGGTAGTAATGATGTTAATGAAAAATTGTCGCTCGTTTCCAAACAATATCTACATGCTTTTAATGTTTTACGAAATTCCACCGAAATGGCGCACGATGAAGACATTCTGTTTTCTGAAGAAAAGGGTCTAAGTTGATTTTGGACAATTATAAATCAACACAAGTCCTAAAATCAGTTAAAATCTTATCAGAAAGAGATCTATTAGACGATCGGCAAGCAGTTGCTGATTTTTTGATGCTTTAAATAAAAGTGCACCGAAGAATAACAAAACAACCGGGCAGCCGGTTCGTGGATCTCAAGTTAGTGGTATAACTGGGACACTCCTACACCCAACTGCAAATCAAAAAAAAACTTTAAAAAAATCAACTTTTAAAAGGAAATTACCGGAGAGGATATTTCTTGTAAGAAGCGGTTGCCTGAGGTGACGATCCATTGGCACTGCATCCGGTGGCAAGACCACAACGAACCGAAATTGCACAGCACCATAATCACGCCTGGGATATCCGTCCAGCAAAACAATATGATCTCGTGTGAATAGTGCTCTGCAATAACGATGACCGCCGTCGCGCAAGACAAAGAGTTATATGTTTTATCACCGCATGGGCTGTAAAATTTTTCCACAAAGATACATATTCGCACTAGCTCTGCAGTGTAAGCCGCAATTTTCATCAGTAAAAAACACACTTCAGATTAGCATTCCTCGTACCATCTCCTCCTTCCTTTCCTTTGTTTCTCTTCTTTGTCCTCAAAAAGCCAGTGAATTTCTAGCTCATCAAATTTCATGACAACCTTGATTTGCTGAAACGGCTAGTTTAGTGGCAGTTCGATGTACAGGCAGGAGGCAAAAATAATTTCTTGGTATTCCATCCTCAGACAATCTAATTAACCAGCCTCAGACTCGACTAGCGCTACTGGTATTGTATTTTGCAGTTTCGATATAAATTGTAAGACGAACGATTTGTGAAGTCGGCAAGCAGTTGCATTCCGGCAGTATTTGTTCAGCGATTCAGTGAGAGCTTTCTTGAAAGGCTCCACAAGAAGATCGATAGGTGCATCAGTGCAGTAATTGACACGGATTCCCGAAGTCCAGTCCAGAAGTGCCAACTCTGGAAAACTCATCAGTTTCTTTTTTATTTCTTAACTTTATCGCTAAAGTTTTAACAAGAGAAACTCAAAATTCAAAACTCTTGTCCGTATTCACTTTTTATGAGAGACAGGAGCACTGGGAAGTATTCAGAAGGAAAAAAATATCGGTAGTGACCAATCACCCTGCTAACAAGGTTGTGGATAGTTGCCCTCTTGAGAGTTGCTTAAAAGTAAGCTGATTGTGGTTTCGGTTTCCTTATATGTACCAGTATCAGTTTACCATCGAAACCAGTGAACGAACTGTAGAAGGAATGGCTGACCCACTGGTGGTGTTGAACGCGCTAAACGTAATAAAACTTAGACAAACGCAAAAATGTTATTATAAATGTGCACTTCTAGAGCGTAATCGTTTTTTTTTTAAAATGCACGTTTTTGGAGCATAGGTATCTTTACTTATCTTTACTACTGAAATACTTTGGTTATCCCAAAACTTCCGCAAAAACCGATAAACTGTTTGAAAAGTTAGCTGTAAAATAGTACAACAAGCATGTGTTAGCTAAATCACACAAAATGTATGGTATTCATTATATGCAATATATGGATCGCATAGAATACATGCCGTATTTTTCATAATTCAAACGAAGGAATAGAACACTAGCTGAACAAAGTACCAAAATAAGTAAAATTTTACAGAATTATCTGCGCCTTTTATTGACCACTATTAATTATAATTAAAGCTAAGTCAAAAAATTAAAAAAATATCATACTCCAAATTCTTAAGATAAGGTTCTTTAAAATACTAGCTTAACCGCTAGAGAGAAATCGTGATTCTTAGTCAAACGCACTGGTTACCTTGATTTGTTGGATCACCTGGTTCCGGTGAGCCACCCATTTGTCCGTACGTCATTGTTATTAGTGATACGCTTAGCACGTTAGTTATTCGTAGCATCATTACCAGACTGAGAAGTGGATTGTATCAGGAAGGTGATAGTGCTGGTTTGCTTTTGCTGATCATGCATGCAACATATTTCGAAACACCGGAAAGATATTTTAGAATGTTCTCATGGCGGGGATAATAAATGGTAGCAAGAGCTGCTTGGCTAGACAAATGTATAGCTCCTGAAAAAATGTATAACGCGAAAATAGTGCTGCTTTAACAATAATCAATGTTGAAGAAAAACACAGGAAAGTCTACTGGTGCAATGAAAAGAACGCTTGAATGGCTGCATGAAATTATGTGGGTGAAAGATGCGCAAAACGGAAAGCTGCATCCGCGACGAGAAAGAATGCAACGACCAAAAAAAAAAAAACAGTTGCTCAGAGTAATACAATACTAAAGCAAAATTAAAATATTTTTCGAAAGTTTTATCAGTGATCAAAAAATCATTTTTATGCGTTTTGTGCTGTGTAACAGCAGAAAGAAACGCATATTTTCACTGGGTTGTCTGTGTGTATTTGTGTGTGTGTGTGTGTGTGTGTGTGTGTGTGCGCGCAGCAACTTGTCCGCAACTTTCAACTCGGG